CAATTTCTTGAAAGGCCAGTCGCAAACACTAAACACACCCATACACACCCTGAACACCAAGACACACCCTACATTCCCCCCCCCCCATAGGCTCAGGTGGGTTTACTTTGCCTTTTTGTGTATTCTCCAAACAAAAAGGCTCTGCAAGACCGAACAAGTACAGTTTTCCGAACTTCAGTCTAATGATAGCTCTCTTGACAAAAGAGATGAACAGCAGGACAGTGAACCTTGCTGTACTGTATAATGAGATAGTAGGAACTAAGTAATTGGAACCAGGCCCTTCTCTCGTGCAGAAAGGTTCCGGCCTTATTATATGAAAACCTCACTGTCAATATGCAAATGTCAAATGTCTGTTGGCATTTGAATATCTTGCTGGAAATTTGGCATTCGCGGTGAGGTATGGCAAACACGACAGGGATAATTAATATTGTCAGATTTGGTAAATACTTGTCTGTCATCATGAACCGGAGCCGCCCTTTGGCCTTTATCCTTTGTGTCTGTCGTGTGTCTATACTTCCTGTCTGCGTTGTATAAAGGGGGTATTATGAGGAGAAAGTAAAAGGTGTGCTCACAGTCTCTCCAGCTTGGCTTGGAGTAAATATTTAACTTGATGTTTGCTTTCTGTACTAAAATCCAGCGTGGATCACTGCGACATTTCACAGTTGTAATAGAGATTTGGTGCAAAGGTGAATTTGTCGCTCACACTTGTCACACACAACAAACTCACATCTGGAGTGTAAAACTAAACCTTCAAAGGACTCACAGCAAGATGTCTGAGAATGAAATGTGATTAATCAGAAACAATGCATGGGCAGCAGCAAGTTCACTCTCACAAACAGGCTGTGGCATATGTTGTGTCTTGTGATTCACAGTGACTGTGAGACTTGCTGACACTTGCAGACACACATATGATATCATTTCCAGAGAATCGCACTGACATCATTCACTGAGTAATCGGGGAAGTAAAAGCCTGACATCTGGTTTATTAATTTGTGTAGACAATTGACAAAGTCTCACTTATTAATGCTATGTCCTGATCTGAGTTTCCCTTATCACAGTAACATACAGGTGGTTCCTCAGACATTACAATGCTTCATAAAAAAAAGAGACATTTCTTCAGGGCTGCTTTACAAAGCTATTGGTGGTAGCCAGGATATAGGAAATATTAAGATCAAGAATTCAGAAATGTCAGTAAAAATTTTGATCAAGCGACAAAAAAACTTGAACTAGACCATTTTGTATGGTCTTGACTAGACCATACAAGATGGTCTAGATAGTGTTTCCAAAATTTTTTTAAATGTAAATTTTTTGATTGTGGGATTGTTTTCCATTCCCCCTACAAATAGTGAAACAATTTCATATACAAAAGATCAGAATCAGCCTTGAAAAGCACAACATATGGAATATCTTTGTAACTTTAGGATGTGAACTCACTGTCATTAAGTCCTCACAAATTCCCCAGAATATTACATAATAAAGCCTTAGTCCTAATCTTTGATTAAAGAAATTCTACATCAAAGGCTGTTCCGCAATTATATTGAGCTAAAAATCCTTTTTTGCCAACCGCCATTCCTTCTATAATATTTGCTTATCTGCAACAAGATTAACTGAGGGCTTTTTACAGTGTATCTTCATTAGTGTGTGTCTTTGTATGATTTTTGTTTTCCCTATCTGTCTAACTTGACTTTAACCTCAAAGTGATAAATCACACAGCATTGTGCTAAGCTATCTCTTGGACTTTGAAACTAAAGGGCACTAAATTCATAGGTAAAGTATATCTATATAGTATATGGCTGCATTGTTGCCCTTATGCTTAGCTACAATCTAAATGTTTACATCTATTGATAACATGTAGAAATGCTATTTATCTTTTCACAGTACAACAGTTTTGAATTAGTCAGTCCAGAGTGAAAGCTCAGACACACCTCTGGGTATTTTTCTGTTTTACACATCATGTGTAAACAGCCAGTTTATGACACAGAGACAGACAGATAAAACAACAGATTCACACACACACCTGCTCTGACTCACAGCATCGTATGGGGTGGATCCTGGACACACCTGAAGTAGTTACCAGGGAGGGTAGCAAGCAAGTTTGAATGATAACAAATAGCACTATGAGATAGTGTGAAAGTACAATGGTCGACTTGTTTCTGTTGGAACGCAGCCATGCAATATATTCTGCACACACTTCGAAAACCATTGTCTGGATGATAGATTTGGAGATGATGTAGATAAAATTTTGGTCTGGTCTTTTTTTTTTGTTACCTGTCACCTTAATTTTACACATTTATTTTGTGACAATTTTAAAGCTGCTTGCAACAGTGAAAGAAAATAAGTTGACTTTATATCTCACCAACACTTTTAGTTAGCTTTAAACAAAACAACTTAATGAATTTGAAAAAAACAACAAAAGAAAAACAGCTATGCAAAGCTGTTTACATTGCAGGATTGTTGCTAGATTAAAAGAAAGAAAAAATGCTGCAAATGCTGCAATGAGGAGACAACAGTGCTGTGGCTCCAGTCTGCCTGCAGGTGTCATCAGCCTGTAATAAAACACAACAAGACACTGCAGGCTGTTCAGGGGCCCTCAGTCATCGGTCTCTGGGGGGCGCTCAGGATCTGTCAGACTTGTTTTGCATGCAGTAACAACTGAGAACTCTGCGATAATGCCTGACATATATATTTATTAAAATGTGATACAAGGTGAGGTCATATCAAGGGCAGCTATAGTGTAGTGTATTATAACTGTAGGCTTTACTTTCATAATAATCATTAAAAAAAAGAAAAAAAGAAATTGAAAAATATTGAAAAAACGATTAAATGTCTTCTCTTGATCTTTGAGAAACTAATGGTACTTAAATATGCATGATTCAGCCTCCTGAGTCAACAAACCTGTGTGTACTAGCACATTATGGCCAGGAGGGTGAAGCATTGCTAAGCACACATGAGTGCTGTAGCTGAAGCAAGAGCCTGATATCACATGGTCAGATAAATATAGGCTATCAAGCTAGTGGGTGTAAATCAGATCTGACCAATATTGAACTCTGTCTTCTCATAAATATTGTTTAATTTATCCAGTCTGCATGAGGTTACAGTAACTCCTTCACAATGAGTATCACAAAACAAAAAAACGTGTTCATTATTCAAGACATAATTACGACCATATGTCTTTAGTATATGCACAATAACACATTGTCTTGCCAAGTGATTGTGGAGTTTCAGTAAGACGAGGGGGGAGATGTAAGATATTAAGATAATTAACAATCTTATCTGATACTGATTAAGATTTAGATCTATAAGTTGCAACTAATGCTTTCATGGGGGAGAAATCAGTCATTGTAGCTTTAAAGACCAGCAATAAGCCACTATAAAATGAAAAGTTTTGAGTTGCCAGGTTGTGGAAAACAAAAAACAAAAAACAAAAAACATAAACAAAAAAAACAAAAAGAAAACTGTTGGCTGGTGTTTATCCTCCTCCAGCATAACTTGCTCTTGCTTTTTTAGTTCTCCACCTCATTAACCCTCAGTGTTGAACTAAACACTGAGTGTTGAACTAAACACTGAGGGCCATCTGCAACAAAATTCATTTAGTAACTACTCATTCACATTCATTCATTCACATTGACAAAAAAATCCATTATTAATAACTTACTAACATTTCTAATTGCAGACCTGTTGGCTTATTATAAAGAGAGAAATCAACTGGATTTAATCACCACCAGGACACTTAAGAGATATTTTTATTGACCTATAAAAGCATTAGTAAAGGATCCCATCACCTTGAATAAAGCTAGTTATATCTTTAGTTACAACCCCTTTGTGTGTTAGAAACTGGTAAGCCTAAAGAGTCCTCCACAAAAAAGCACTATGTGAATCACCAAAAATGCTATGGCAAGACAAATTCTGGATCACTCTCAGTCACTCATCCTCAAACTATGAAAGAACACATAAAATATAACTTTGATACCCCATTTGAACCCTCCTTCCATGCACTATAGTCCCTGAACAGCAATCATAAGTCATCATATGTTTGCTCTCACCTGAAATGTTCAAAAGTTATTACAAGTTATATACAGTAAATACTATTTATTTAGGTGTTTTCTTTAAATATATGTAGGCCTATATATAGGCTATATAGCCTATTCGATTTGCTGGCTTCTACAGTAGAAAGTGCAGGTTTTGTTTGCCATAGAAGTGGGCGGGGACAGAGTTAGTTCCTCCTGTCCCCCGCTGATAGGACATCTGCACTGTGCATCTGAAAGTCTTTGTATATATTCATGTATATATATTTATTCATCTATACTTTATTTATCTTTCATCTAGGTAGGCCTAACATGTCACTTGTAATTTCTGAAAGCCCAGAATCTAATTTACTGTTATATTGGTACTTTGTAGCGAAATGTTATGGAGCAACGGTTGCCATGGTTTTGGTTTGATTTTATTCTGCCTTTAAATAATATACACATAACATGGTTGTAAAAATATCCAGTACATATAGAAAACAGATTCAACGCTGTGCTTACACGAACTAAACAAACAAAAGAACTGGTGTCTTTTCATTTGAAATAAAAACATATATATAACAAGGAACAATAATATCGTTCTTTTTTCAGAAGCTGACTTGGTCTAGAACTGCAAAGAGAATGAGCATTTTCCTTTCAAATTGGTTACCAATGGTTACAGGTGCCATGTTGGGAAGAGTCAACAGCACACAGCCTTTGTGGGCAGGTGTGTTACCTGTGGCTCCCTCAGGAAGTAGCCTACACGTCCTAGAGCTCTGCTGCCACAGCTGCCTCCTGACACAGACACAATGAATCAGACGACGGTATAGATCATGAAATAGTTTTTTTTTCCTCGTCATTGTGTAATTCAGCTACAACCCGCTTTTGTTTAGGAGCTTGAGTCCGCACTCAGTCCAGCACTTGTTTAGGTGGCAGACGGAGGCAAATGCTTCCTGATAATAAAGAGGTGCGTCTTATTTCCATTCCAGTGATTGACTGCGCACGGCTTTCACCGCCGGAGCTGGGGGCATTGACGCATTGTGGAGTCGACAGGGGGTAGTAGCACTGCAACCCCGGCTTCGCTACACAACGGAGGCATCTATCGGCGAAACCGCGATGGCCGTGGTGCAGCTCGACACGGAGGACCATCAACCGGAGAACGGCTTCGTGTCCCCCGAAACCACGTCGCCGGGGCTGCTGACACGCATCGACGGTGCTGTTCTGCCGTTTCTCGGGGGATTTGGGAAGTACCAGAAACAGCTGATCGTGCTGACATGGATTCCGGCGCTATTTATTGGATTCAGCCAGTTCTCTGATAATTTCCTCCTTGCCCAGCCGAACAACACATGTGTCCAGCCTTTGGCAAACCTGACTAATCAGACTATAAGTCATTCCTCGTTGTTAGACAGGCCAAAAAACATCAGCGCGCGGCCAGCTTATATTTATGCCAATGGAAGTTACGGCAACCACAATGACACGACCAGCATGCAGTGTAGGTGCAGTGAGTGGACATTCGAGCTGCACACAGGACTTGTGCAGAACGTGGTTACCAAGGTAAGCTGTCCATATTGAGGATGGGCATCCTTTCCATCCCATTGTGTTGTGCATCCGCGACACCCTACCCGCTCTAATCCTGTTAGTGGGATTGATTTACGTTAGTAAGAGAATGAAATTCTGGCACTTATCAACACTACACCCATCGTTACAAATGTCACTTTTGAAGCTGCATTACAGTCATAGTTAATATGAAATTAAGCGCAGACCGTGTTATTTGGCAGCACTCTGCATAGTGGTAATGTTAAATGCCTCCTTTGTTGCATCCAAGGCGTGCATTTCTCCTCGATGGGCCGTCTGGCACTGAGTCATCTTATTCTGTAGGAATTCACCAGAGCCACGATTTGGATTGGTTCACTTTGGACCAAAAAAGTAGTATGAAGATTATATAGGTGAGAGCATGCATCGTGCTGACAGTGAGTCATCCCAACAGCTGACACAAAGTGTGATCTATAGCAGAGAGAGGCCACCATTGGCACTTTGGGCAGACCTGCCAGGGCTGGTGGAATTTGCCGGTTGTCGTAATGCACATAATAGACATAGAGCCTTTGATTTAGAGCAAAGGTCATTTGTGCACTCTCTAGAATAATGCAACCCCATGCCTGGCCAAACATCACCTGCCCTATCACCGGCCTAAACCAAACATCAGTGAGATTTTCTTGTAGCTTTCATTCTGACTCTGAGGGGGATGCCTTTACCTGCTATGGCATCACCATAATGTTGTAATATCCCTATCTGTGCATGCCAGGCTGAGGAGACAGTATAGGCCTGTAGTTATCACAGTTGGTCTGCTAGCTGGAGGAGGAAGGGTTTTACATCTCATTATGCCTATCAGCTCTTCTACCACTATGGATGCTGCATGCTTATATCAAGATATCAAGTTTTATTTTAGTGTGGGGAGAAAAGCATGAAACTTTAATCCACAAGACTCACTGAGTAAACTATTCACAGGATAATGTCCCTAAATCTCCATATTCTGATCATAAAGACCTGAGAAACGGAGAGAATTCATGTGTTCATCGTTCAGTTTTGCTCATAAAAAAGTTGAAGTGTTGATACACACCCTGATAACCTCATACACCCTTGCAGAGCACAGTAAATTGCATTTTAATCTGCAGCATCTTCACCTCTAAAGGGTTTGGAATTCATGCCATAATCAAAAGGCTTATCAGGAACATTTTGATCGGAAGCCAGGCTTTGAAGCCTCTCTGTGCTATAGGAAGGAGGTTGTGGCACCCGGAGCTTGCATCCACTGTGATACCAACAGCCCATCTGCTTATCACTGATAATGGACTCATTTAAATAAAGCATAATAAAATGCAGCTGTGGCCATTTAATTCAGCCATGAGCTGAGGGACAGTTTAAGTCTTGACTTCATTAACTGTCCGCAGGGTAATTTGGAGAGCAACAACTTTTTTATGGCTGGAGGTGCTCAAAATACTCCTCACTTGCAGCTGAAGATGTAGGCATATGCGAGGGGAATCGATTGGGTGGGTCTTTGTTACTAACAATCAAAAAATGTCTGTTCTCTCAGGCATAAAAAAATGAAGAGAAGTTTCCAGTGTGATGACTTTAGCTCTCAAACACTGCTGCCTCTCCTTTCATGCTGGCGTCAGAACCTGTAGATACTAACTTTTATGTTGCCTTTGCACACACACTGAGAATGTCATGTTGACACTACCACCATTGCGGATCAGTGACAGGGCTGAGCGGGGCTGGTAAAAGTCCCTGCCAGTGCTCGTCTTCCCTGACCCATGCAGTTCACATTCTGACAAGGTCACCGTTGGGAGAAATTGAATTAGATCGCAGGCGAATCCCAAAATGGAGCCAAAAATGAAGTAGAATTGAGTCTTGTCTCTTTTGACAACCAGTCTCTCACTCTTCTCAGGCCCCTTTTTTTTCCCCACCACAGCAGCGACACTAGGATCTGACACTTGAGCAGGAAGTGATGACTTGGCATTTCTCCTTGTGTTTGGATTGCCTAAGCATAACTTCACATGACTAAGCTCAGCTATCTGTGACACTTGATCCCAAAAAAGCAGAGCCAACACTGACAAAATGTGTTAGTGTCTGTCAAAATGTACCAACAAATTATAACAGCCATAGTACTCTGCTAACCCCTAATATCACGTGCGGTCAACATGTAAACAAATGTAGTTGATGATGTTTTCCCTGTTTGCAACTTACCAGGTTTTGTTTCCAGAATCGGTAGCAGAGGAATGCATGTCCGCTCGCTCCATTTTCTTGTCATCACAAAGGGAAGGCCTTGATGGAGGCAGCAGAGGTTGAGGTGGTGGTGAAGGATCCAAAGTGGTTAATGTGGAGACCCATCCTAATTGAGTCAAGGCTCTCCTCAGGGTCCGTCTTAATTGGACTGAGCCTAAGAAATGAGAATGTATCATTACTCAGAGACAGATAGAGTCTCTCTGCAACCTACCCTACTCAGCTCCCATTCAGATGGGTAGCAGCTGCACACACTGCCTGAAATAGTGACCTGAGAACCTCCTCAAAGCAAAGATTAACCTCTCTATTGATCCCCTATGAAAGTTTGCATCTCGTATTAATATCAGAGAAACAGTGCATTTAGGGACTGATGATTTTTGCATCTAAAACTCAATTTCAGTTTTTCCCCTCTTGTAATACTCCACGGTAGAATAGCATTTGGACTCCTACCAAACTATGCATTTAAGCTTTTTTTAAATGTGCTCTTCAAAATGTCAGAAAATTGTACAGAAATGAAATCCAAGGTCATTTCTTAAAATTGCTTGTTGCTTGACCAGCAGTCCAAAACCCAAATCTGACAAAAGCCACAAACCCTAATGTTTTAGAAGCCGGAACCAGCCAGTGTTTGGCACATTTGCTTAATAAATGCCTTAAATGATTGATTGATTGATTGATTGATTGATTGATTGATAATATAAATTGTTGTAGATTCATTTTCTGTTGATTGTTGAGCTGAAATGATAGAGCAAAAAATGCCAAAGATTCTGTGTTTATAGCTTCTAAATTGGTCTGAAGACACTAGTTTGGGCTTCAGGGAAACTGTAATGTAAATCTTTAACTACTGGGTTACTGATAATAAAAGTAATTGTTAGTTGAGTGATTAATGAAGTGACTGTTTCAGCATGACTCAGTATATAGATGGCACAATTATATGGTATGTATCTTTCTTAGAATGTGGGTTAGAGCATTGTATGGAAGTGATAAGAAAGATATGGTGCTAAAGCTCATTTCAGGGTACACCCAGACCCAGTATCAGTGTCTGGAGGTCCCACACCCATAGATCTGAAAGATGATCCTGTAGTCGAACACCAGTGCAGGCCTCTCTACTCTGTGTCCCTTCATACTGTTTACCCAGCTGGTTGGCTCCTTCCACAGACCCCGGATCAGTGTGGGACACTTTGAAACGGTCTCAGCTGTCGAAAGTCGATGACCCCACTGCAGATACCCAGTCAGCACACAATGACAGTCACTCACAGCGTCAGCTGGGAGGGAAGACGCTTGTGTGACCAAAAGATAAAACTAAACTTGTTGAAGCTGTGTGTGTGTGTGTGTGTGTGTGTGTGTGTGTGTGTGTGTGTGTGTGTGTGTGTGTGTGTGTGTGTGTTTCTGATGAGTGCTGTTTTGTAACAGGAAGGGATGAGAAATGTGGGGTGCCTGATCCTTGGCCTTGGTATAAGTTTGTTTTTTGGGATTGTGTAATGGAATTAAGGTTGTGGGAGTGTTGGTGTGTTGTCCATGCATATGCAGTTTATTTGGCGACAGAGAAGAGTAGTAGTAGTATATTAGTTGTGTAGTTACAAAATGAGACAGTGAATAGTAGATTGGAAGGCAAAGGTTTGTTGTTTCACCATCTGTCACTGTTGGTTGCAGGAAAATATAACTTGTCTAACATGTTAGTATTTCTCATCTGATGTGTTGTATAGTAGTATGACAGTTACTTGTCACACCTACAATATAAATTTGCACTACGGCAGTAAGTCCCTCGGGCTATATCTCCGGGGTCAGATATCTGTAGGATGTTTCATCCTTCTTACCACAAAGCTGCAATAGAGAGTGAGTATGGACAAAATAGATGTATCTTTTTGCTCTCACTCACCCTCCTTTTGCTCACGTTTGTTATTCTCTTTTACCCTCACCTATGCTAACGCCACATTATAGGATTTCAACCCTTTGGTGAGGCAGTGGTGCTAAAACTTGCACTTGGAAGCAGAAAGAGTCTGATAACCACAGAGATGGTCTGTTGCTAGGCAGTAACTATGCAGCAGTCTCTCCATGTGTTTTCTGCTTTCTCCTCACAAGTGCTTTTAAGCATCTCTGTCTCTTTAGCTTGTTATCCTTCCCCATTCCTATCTTTATTCTTCACGTTTCTCTCTATCTTTTACATGTTCTGTTTCTACATTGTATAATCTTTATTCCTCCCTCCTCCTGTGCTTTCATCCATCTCCCTCCCTTCCTCCCCCTCCTCTCAATCCCCCCCACCCCCCGCCCACCTCTCCGTAGTTCAACGAGTGCAGAAATGTGCAGCTGTAGTTGAGAGTGTCTTCATCTGAGCTAATGAGACTCGCTGGTGTAGACCGATCATTGCTGGCCGGTCATTTGAGAGAGGTCGACAGACACCCTGGGGATTTCAACTGAATTGCTCTTAGCCCTTCATTGTTCTGCATTTTTCTGTCAGCTAATAGATTTGTATGTGTCTTGCTCAACTCTGCACACTGACTTCTATTCATTACTCCCAAATGAGAAAGACAATAGCAAGGGAGCAACAGACAGAAATAATAGGGGCATAGCAGACAAGCTGCATGGATTTGACTCATGCTTAGACTGAATCACAGTTTGCCGGGATTTCTTTGTTCTGCTGTGGCTGAAAGTCAATGCTAATGATGGTGTATGAGCTCGGAAAGAGTGTTGGCCTGGAGAGAGACGGTGTTTAATAATATATGCAAATTGGCAGATGCTTTTAAATAAAGCACATTAATGATACTTTGGCAATCACAACCTGCCATGCGCTGCCCATTTGGACATTGCACATTTCAGCAGCACTTAGCACTTGTGAGACGTACTGCTGCTTTGCCTTTGTCATATGACTTGGGAATGCTCAATATGTTGGTATTTTACAACATTGGTCTGTCTGGGGTCAACTGCAGATGTCTGGTTCTACACAGTCACCCGACTGTCATCCAGCGGTGCAGTGCTAGCACCTGTATAACCACAGACTCAAGAGTTTGTCATGCTCCTGGAGGAGGGAAGCTTCAGCCTTTTAAACACCTTGGTCTTGCAGTGATTGCGCAACAGCAACTTGTTTGCCTCCCCCTGTGTTTTTCTCTGCTGACATTGATACTGAAACCATGAATGAGTGGCATGCCTGGATCATGTGATGGCAGGGTGGCTCTGGGTAATCCTGGAGCGTTCCATTCTGGACAAGTCACTATGGTAGAGGTTATGCGAGGTTAGAGCCCCTCAGAGAAAAATGTAGGAACAAACTAAACTTTTTAGTTGGAGCTGCCACACGAAATTAATGTCATTTTAACTTGACATGGCAGTGTGTTTTCTTGTTCTTCTCATAGAAAGAAGGTGTAGTGTATAGATGAAACAGAACTGAGGTCGGTGTTTATCAGCCTCCCGTATACGCGATGCACCTGCTATGGCCACCACACCCCTGTCTGCTCCTTCCTGCCGCTTCTGTCAGCACAGACAACTGGGAGGCATATGTTCTCAAAAAGATTCCTAATATCCACCTCCTCTGTGAAATTTAAAGTCTGTTACTCTCAGGATCAACCACTCTACCAGGACCATTTAGTAATTATGTCAATGTTTGTCCAAGCTACAGGTTTGGCTAGACTATTTTGAGTAGCGAGTTTCTGCACACACACCACTGGGCTTTACATTTGCTGCTGCACCGCTTTGCGATCATTGCTTGTGCTGTGTACGAGGCCTGTTTGTCACAACTTGTCAGTGCTGTGGGGGAAAAAGAAAAAAATCAGGGCGTGCACAATTAATTCAAAAGCAGTCACGCACTGCATTGTTTGCACTCTAGGAATCTCTTTGCTGCTAGTTTGGAGAGTTTTTCTCAAGAGAGAAAATAAGGAGAGGCAGAGGGGTCTGTCATAGAACATCTCGACACACAGTAGAGGAGGCAATAGTAAATAATGAAATAATAAAATCTTATTTTATGCAGACCTGATGATTTGGATTGAGGAAATTACTGGCGTAAACAGAGATGATTTAATCCCGGATGTTGATTTGCAGAAAATAAATAAGATCCTCCAACATTTGCAGTGGCATCACAAGTCAAATATGTGGGCGTTGTATAAACATGCATAGTGGAGGAAAACCCCAATGCATCATTTTGATAATTTACACAGCTTTTTTATACTTATTGCAGAATCACTATTTTCAAGACATTTTTTGGGGACCCCTGAGCCTCAAGTCTAACAGTTAAACACCTTGCAATATATTCTGTGTAAAATAATGGAATATTTAAGAAAGGACATTTCACTGTTATGTGTTTTAGGTGGCAATAAGGACTATAAATCAGACAGCCCAAGGCAAGAGTGATAGTCCAGAGACAACAATTGCTCATCCTCAAAACATTTTATTTCTCTTTCACTTTTTTTTACCAGCATAAATTTCTTGGAACTAATGCCTGTGTTTATTTGTCTCTACAGTGGAGTCTGGTGTGTGACTCAGCATGGAAAGTCCATATTGCAAAGTTCTCTCTGTTGGTGGGATCCATCTTTGGATACCTGGTGTTTGGAATCCTTGCTGACTGGTAAGATTTTCAGCCAAGTTTTGTCACACTAAGTCTTATATGTAGAAATGTAGAAATGAAAAGGTATTTTCAAGCATCCACATTTCTTTTTACCTTATTTTGTAGGTTTGGCCGCCACCCAGTGCTAATCATATCGGTGCTGTTCATGCTGGTGTTTGGTCTGACTGTGGCCTTCTCTGTCAACGTCCCCATGTTCAGCACCCTGCGCTTCTTTGAGGGCTTCTGCCTGGCAGGAATCACCCTTTCCCTCTACGTCCTCAGTAAGTCTTTAACTATCACCTAAAAGCCTTGTGTTCATTGACCCTTTGGTAAACCTCACTGCCTTTGCTGTTGTTGCTACCCCTGTCATCTCCATTGTAGCACAGCACACAGGCTATGCAGTTTATGCTGGTATTGTTAGCAGACTAACTACACCTATTTTAGTAATTTCTGACACACTGGATCTCAGATATCACACAGACATAAATGAAAGCAGGCTTCTCATTTCTACCAGAGGATAGTCAATTTGTAAATTGAAATTACAACTTTTCTCTCTGTCTCCAACTTTAATATTTCTACTTGACATAATTTAAACAAGATTTCTATAAAAGCATCTTAAATATGCACATGATGGCTACATTCATGTTAGAAGTAATGTTAAAGGAACTATTTGTAAATTTTGCTGTTGCTACATAGCAAACGTTAGCATTAAAAGCTGTTTACTTACCAGTCCTGCCAAGAGCTTCAGCCATTGTTGTGTTTACAAGACAAGAGGTTATAATACGCCTTTGAGCAGCGCTACTTCTTCAGGGCAGACTGGACGCTACAGTGACTTGGTATCCAAAAGTGACTAGATGGTCTGACCGGGCCGGTGGTAGCTGGTTAGCATGCTAACTTCAGTAAAAGAAAAGAAGTGAAAGAAACAGAAGCAAAACAAGAGGATTAATTTCCAACGCTGGAGACAGCTCTTGGCGGGTAAAGTAATGAAGTTTGATATTGAACTCACAATGTTTCTTCTAGACTGGTAAGTAAACAGCCGTTAATGCTAATGTTAGCTATGTAGCAACAGCAAAACTTACAAATAGCTCCTTTAGCGGAATGAAGCTAAAGCTAACAGGTCATAGGCAAAACATCAGCCTCTTACAAGAGATAAGGCTTTGAGAAGAAGATATTAATTGACTATGTTTGGAGAAACAAAAAAACTAATTTGTGCTCCTAATTTTAATAATTTTGTGCTCTCAAATTAATAATTTTTACACACTAAACTTTTTTTTCTTCCCTCCATGAAACCTCTTTAAACCTCACATCTGTGTTGAATGAGTATTTTGCCTTATACTATGCCTGATGCAGAGATGTTTTGCCCTGGGCCCTGCAGGTAGAACCCTCTGAAAGCTAGTTGTTGCTTTATCTCAGGTTTGTAGAGGGTACTTGGTTTTAATGTTTCCACTAAACAGAGGTGCTGACAAGATATGGCCACAGCAGTAATGCAGGAACAGCCTATAGAGAATGGATGCCTATTTCCTGGAACATGTAGTTATCTGAAGATCAAACTGGTTTGTTGGCTCCATGTCTAGGAAAAAGGAGCATCTCTTGTTGTTCAAACACTGTAAGGAGTGGTTTTCCTGTCAGGGCTAAGTCAATACTTCAATATTATTCATCACCTCCATATAATCGTATTATGACATTCCTAAATGTTGTGTTTGACAAACTTTTAGCCAAAATCTGTCACAGCATTCTATTTTACGTACTGGAAAATATATATTTTGAAAATAATGCCGTGATATTATGATTATATTATTACAATTCTAATTTTGTCTATACCGCCCTCTCTTAATCCTTAATATCCTCCCACTGTTACTGTGCTCACTAACAACCTGACACACCTAATCAAAAAGCTATTCCACTTTAATTCCTGTCTCTAGCTGAGGATAGCATTCAGCTAAAAGAAGAGTAATTGTGTTGCAGTGACCTCCTAACATTTATTAAACTGAGAGCCATTGTTGGGATAAATTCTCATTACTGAGAAACTGCCACCCTCCGTATCCTTGAAGTGAACTCTTTAATTTTGATTTAGGTGCACCCGCATGTGTCTTTTCCCGAGATTTTAATCCTTGTTGCTGCTAATCAATATTCTGATAACGACAGAAGGGGTGGGGGGTGGGGGTGGGGGTGGGGGGCTTGTCTTCACTATAGCTTCACCCATCACTGCAGGAAAAGTCTCCACAGACTCTTGTGCTCGTGGAGATGAATCCTCTCTGTTGATGTGATCTTCTCCCTGCACAGTAAAGGTTTAAATAATTAGTTCTGTGGGATGTTATGCGGGAATATTACTGTATGCAGGTTTCCAAGAATGGGGAAGAAGGGACTTTTTTGATAGCATCCTGATAATTGGCCTTGCAGTTGATGCACATTCTGATCTCAGCAATGGATCCTTAAAAGCCTCTTTGGCTGTGGTAATTGACCAGTGTGGAGGCAGGTTGCAAAAGTGGAGGGAAGGGAAGATGAGCGGGAGGGAGCAGGGTGAGATGATGAAGGAAGGGGCCCTCAATGTCCTTGTCTTTCTAATTTTTTGTATACCTTGAAAAGCATTGCTCCACTCCCAAAATAGAAGGACCGTTAAATCCCAAGACAAAGGGAAAAGGGCGGAGCAGACGGAGGCAAAGGGGTGGAGTTGTACTGTATAGCAGTTTATCAAATTTAAATGAACTTGACATCAGCGTCCATTGTTTTCACATAAACTTACAGTTTATAGTTTGAATGAATCTGTGGTTCTCAACCTGGTAGTTGGAGCCCATAAAGAGGTGGAGAGATAGCACAATAATTTTACGGAGACAATATTTCTCTGTATTTCTCTGAGACAAGCTTATATAACATGCCTATTTGGGTTTTTTTGTCATATTTTAGCTCTTATCTTATGAAATGTAGATTAATATTAAGTTAATTGATGCATTTTCTTCATTCCAAATAAATGGCATATTTGTCTTAGAGAGTCCAATTATTGTGAGTCAGAGTAGAGAATTTTTAATACCTCACATCTGCTTTCTTTCTTTCTTCTCAATATTCTTTCTGGAGTTATTTTTTGTTATTCCTCGATCTTTCCCAGTCTCTACTTTTTAAGTTTACCTTCCCTGCCCGCCTCTCCTGCTCTACTGTTTTCTTCCCTATTTTTACATTCATTGCATTTACTATTCTACCATACAGTCTGCAATCTGCAAAACTACAATACAGTGTTCACAGAGTAAATGAAGTGGTCATGAACAACCTGTTGCTAGGAGTGTTCTTTTCTTTATTGAAATGCCTTATGAAATATTGATGCAGCACCTTACCCTCTACAATCATATTCAAGTACCTATGCGGTTGAGCAATGGTTTAGAGGCCTAGACGTCGCTAAGATGATATGTCAAAAGCTTCTGTAGCTTTATAGACAAGTAACTCTAGGGGTAGTCAGGCCTGTGTTAAACCAGGACTGTGGAGTCTGGTTAAATAACCTATGTTATCCTATGTAACAGCAAGTTCCTCAGTTAATGAGCATAGAACAAGCAGGCGAGCACAGACTTGTCATCCAATCAGTCATTGTATTTCCTCCTTGTTGTTGCAGGGTCATCCATTTAGCTTGCTCATGAAACAATAATCAAACTTATTCCCTCACATAAGCTGCTCCATTGAATCAACAGTGTCCTTTTGACTGTTCAGAAATGATAGCTCTGTCTAAGAGAGCTCGTATCACTATATAGTAGATCCAACTTGAGCACGGCTTAGCTGGACATACGCTTGCATATTTGTATAGGTTTTGCATTACTATACTACCGCCCTTATTTCTAATCATGTGTGGCTCCTGTCACATGATATTTACCCTGTAGCCACTCTGTATTGACAAAACTTCACCAGAGCCGGTCCAGCAGTAGGAACACAGTTGTTCAATAACACATTACTGGAGAGAATCAATCCTTTTGTTTCACGGCATGCCATTTAGGGTATTTAATGCATTTGCATGAGAATTGGCCACATGCTAAGAGTTTAACAAAGCTAATATATACTGGTGTCTTGACACTGTGTCAGTCATGTGACATTGCTTCATGTAACATTATAAACCACATGATCCTCTTTCGTGGCTTGCTTTGTTTGACTCTGCTTACAAAGGAAAGTCTGAGCCAAATCCCGGCTTCAGCTGTTTTTGCACTGGAGACGTTACACTAATCCCCCTTTCTCATCAATCCATGAGCAATTAGGTCTTAGTTCATGCATCTTGAAGCCTGGAAGCGCCAATATGTACGATTATTTTAGTCTGGACAATATAATTGCAATCTTCCTGTTTGGTTTGACAATTTCATACATCCTTGTGAATACGGCCATGCAGTAATAAGAAGATAGCACCTTCCTGACCCCCTGTATATTACCTCATTGCTCCATGGAGGCATCAATCAGGAAACCCATTTTCAGGACATGGGTGAGCTCCTTTTTTTTTTAAGAGTGTGGAGCAATTTGTGCACAGCTACTACCCGTTCCGCCAGGATGGCCTGTCAGAATCAAGCCCAGTGCAGGGCCCAACATGGCTGATATGATGTGACACTTATACAGCTCCTGACGCTAACTGCCACACAGAGAGACAGAAAAGAGAATCGGTGGCGGGCTGGTTTCAGACATTCAGACAACAGAATGGGTACCAGCAACTACTATGAGGAGAAAAAAGAAAAAAAGAAAAAGAGGAACGTAAAGACTGAGAGGAATGCGGAAACTGCACGGGGGATAGAGGGAGGAAAGTTTTTCACCTCAGAAGAGTATTAGACTAAGAGGCAGTTTGACACAATTACACCACCACCTCAAGTGAAAGTGAAGTCTTTCTGTATATTAACATGAAGCCCTTTCATGTATAAACCAAGCAAATGCATCTCTCTAATCCAAAGTATACCAGCAGAATAGCAAAGCCGATAGCTATAGAAAGTCATCTGATGCAGCACTACTATTTATACCCCAGTGCTCCAACAGTGTGAGCTAGCCTCTTTAGCATCACAGCACCAGGCAGGAAAGGCTCATAGTGCCTATAGCTGAGCATCATAGTGCTGCTCACTACTGCATTTTTTTTCTTTTACAGTAAACACCCCTGCCCCACCCTCCCCCTCCTGTACATCACCTCTGAACCTTATCTACACCCCCACCCCACACACACACAAACACGAACACACACACACACACACTCACACATACATACAAAGACACACTGCACATCATCATGCTGAGTCATGCTAGCTGGCTGCGCTGGGTGTTTGTGTGAGAATTTTGT